TGCAGTGAAAAGACCGGATTTTCTAACGAGAGACGCTCTGCCGGAGTTCACCGTCAGGTTACTTGTCCACAAAGACATCTATGAAGACAATGAACTAGCCGTTTTTATTTCAAACGTGAAGTGAATCTCTGGAAGCAGATGATTTGCGCATTTAGAGGGCAGCTCTGCCCTCTACTTTGGTGGCGTTGTAAATGTGTGATAAACATGGGGGCCGCGGTGTTTAAACATATCCATCTGATCACTTATCTGAAAGTTCTATGGCGTGCTCATGAAGACATCGACTGAGAGATGTCCAAAAGGACAGCCCATAGAATTGCCGTGTATTTGTTTATATAATAAAGCAGCTTATCAAAAGGAAATACGCGTTTAATGTGCACATTTTAATAGCAGCTCCTTTAGTGTGTTGAGGAAATTTTAAATTCCAGCTGATAGTCTGACAGGAATTCGCGGTGACCGGGATGTTTGCTAACAGAGATGAGATATACCAGTACCATGCACAAATGAAGTTCGTAAAAGTCCCTACCAACAGTTGGTTTGGTAACTCATGAAATCGTAGTCGAAATTTCGACAAGCGTTTCGACTTGGAAAAATAACTTAAGTATAGTTTTAAAATTAATCATCGTTCAGCTCGGTTCTATAAGAATTTAGTTGCGTACGATGTCAGCTTTCAAATAATTTTTTCCGGCCAGAAGAAAAAGCCGCACTTTATAAAACATAACTATTTATGTAGCATGGATGTTTGTCTTTGATTCTCCATGACCTTCTAAAATTGTTTAAAACATGTATATAATAATCACGCTTTTGCTCATTTTGCAGAAACGTAAGTCTTATTCACTTTTATCCCTTGAAAAGGGTATAATTCGGTTTCCAAACTACATGCCATAGAAAAGCACTTGTTTCTCTACGGTATTAAGAGGGGACCTTATTGACTTCATAAAATATGGTAGTGTATTTAAACCATTTTGTTAAAGTTACAAGCCACATTAATAAATGCAGAGACGAGATGTTTTTGAACGGACGCTCCACGGTCTTATAAATTTCATAATTTGAAGCGTTGTAAAACCGAACAACACCCTGAAATAAAGTATGACATTTAAGAAAATAGTGATTTTATGCAAAACAAATATAAGAGGGAATATTTTAATGCATGCTATTCATGCAATATCTTTCAGTTGATGAGGGCATCAAACATCAATGACGGAATTTCGCGCCCTATAACTAGTCATTTTTCATCCAGGGTAATTTTTGCCTGCGGTCAAGAAAGAAGTTCGTCCGAAAGCCGGTATCTTAAGATATCTTAATTATTATATTTACATTACATTTCAAATAATATTACAACCCTATTGAAGTAATATTTTGAATCGAAAACGCGGTTCAAAATTCCGGTTGAAATTTCATGAATTAGCGTTACTGCTGCTATTATATTTTTTGCAACTGAGATATGTGATTTGGGTAGACATGGAGCGGTTTGGCAGACGATAAGGAGCGCTAAAAATGCCTAATTCCGACTTTTTTCATGGTTTTGACACTAGCTAACCACGGGCAAACGATGCACGGGAATGCAATAGACGACTATCAAATTTGACACTTTTATCAATAGTTAGTTTGAGTGCCACGGCATCAGCGTCTAAAAGTGCAGCAAAATTTTTGCGCCATAGGTAAGGCTTTTTCTGCTTACGCCAGTGTTAATTTTAGGGATGCGATAATTGAGTTTTGACTCATCAGTACGGATAGTTTAATTGCGTTATCACTGTTCGCTAGAACGGTGTGCATAACCGATGCGCTGTCTAAAGAAATGCTTAGCAAAATGCAAGTAAATGTCTCCCCGGCTGCCAAAATATTACTTAAGCGGGGTTGTAGTATTAGTTATCATGCAGAATGGCCCTAAGGATTTCCATTCACGCAAGGATAATCTCTTTTTGAAAAGATTCTTTTTGACTATGGGCAATGCCTCGACACTGTAAAAACGCGTACTAATATAATTTGATTATTTAATCTATTTTCGGTGTTCTAACTAAGTTAATTATATTCAAGAACAAACATATATTCTCACTTGGTGGCAAACTATGCTTTTCCCAATTTTTCTGCTAGAGTAGGAAATATATCTCGGTTTTAAGAAAACGATTTCAACTCCCGCATGATATTTCGCCCCATCTGCCTTTAAGCGTTCATCAGGGGATTCCCAGCTAAGTGCAGCGTACATTCTAACATCGGGTATCACACATTTATCTATACCGTTTGGAATTTATCATATAGGACTCGTACTATTGGGCAATTACGCGATTACATTGCTTTAAGCTATACTGCATGATTATTAATATTAAAACCCTAACTAAGCAACATTTTCACTTGAAGAGCATGTTTTGAAATTTACGCAAACATCTAACGAGATATAACATCTACGGTAAACTTCATGAGGACTGTCCCTCGTCCAGGAATCATGGTCGTCCAGACTCTGTGAAACGATTTTCAGCACAAAACTGTCTTAACATTTCTGGCATGTTCAACTTCAGTCATGCGGATCTGAACAAATCGGAATTCTCTCATTTCCTCCCTGCCAAGGATGATCGCTGCCACAAAAATGGTCATATGGGAAGGGTTGGTCGGCCAAAATAACTACGGCGGTGCAGTTTTTAATGCACATTCTCATTCACAGGGCTCTTGTATATCACGTACAGTGAGTGGCCTATCTCATGAAATGTTGGCTGAAATTCTGAAATGCGTTTTCGATTAGAAAGGATTACTTAATCGCGGTTGTGATAGTGATTATCTTAAGGCATTTTCTTATAACATTTCTGACTCGACAGGATATCGGCTTTACAATGCACTGCCTTTCGCTCTCCAGTAGACAGCGTGCTTGGTAAAAAATGACTACTTATGTAGCATGCATGTTTCCCATTGATTTTCGATGGTCTTGGAAATTCAAATATATTTTATTGAAAGCACAAACAAGAATATGCCTTCTTTTAGTCAATCAATAGAGAATCACGCCTTCTTTATATTTTATACTTAAGGAATAATTATAATTAGGTTTTAAAAAAGTTACAATTATAAGACTTTTTAAGACCGAATTATACTGTTTTTTAAGTATGAATAATAGAGAAACGTGATTCTCTATTGATTGACTAAAAGAAAGGTTATTTTTGTTTGCGGGTTCTATAAAATATATTTGAATTTGCAAGACCATCATCGGCTACACCACACCAGCACACTTTCTCCCACCAGCACTCGCACCTCGCCTAAACACCAGGACACATAACAATCACCCAATTGGCACCTACCACGCAGTGGGAAAGTTGTATTTGGCCCACTCTCCATGCGACTGCATAGGTGATCCGACTTTGAGACCAGCACGGTGGGCCAAGCGCCATTGCATTGTAGGCTTACGACAGACGCACACGTTTTAACAATTTTAAGTCCAGGTCTGCAAGAAGAGTACATTCTTCTTACCTGACTTTAATCCTAGCGCATTCCTTATTTGCTTACACGATATTGAGACTCTTTGTGCGACTATCTTAAGATGGACCGGTCAATAATATGTCGTGAAATAGGCGGAAACGTAGGTATGCCCTCCATGAGGCCATCAATCAAGCATTGAAATAAACTGCGGGCAGAGCTTAATCCAAATGGTGATTCAAAACTCCACGAGATGACGGCCAACTAGAGCCCCGATGATACAGAGTGACTGGAGCATACGTAAAACTATTCATTCTTTTGCCTCTCCGTAGAAAGGGACGTCTTCTTTCGATTGTATACTCACAGGAAGGGCAAAGTGTGGTTTTACAAAGTTTCTAATTGTGAGTTTTTTAATACCGTGAAATGGCTGTCCGTCAAACAGTATGTCTCGGTATTTACCAATGTTGCTTTTAAATTTGACGTTAAGGCTCTTATCCACTACTAAATTGTATAAACCTCAAATGGTCTCCTCTTAATACCGTCGACAAATGTATGGTTTTCCGTATGCGATAAATGTGCGCCCTATAGTTTGGAAAACTAGGAATGCAAGTGAAACAACAAGTCGGGTTCAAAGTTATCCGGCAATAGGAAAAAATTGTGAAAACCGGATGATGGCATTTATTCGAGTATAAAATGGGACGTAGACGTCATTTGCTACCATATCAGCTAAGGAACGAACAGTTTTTTGCACGTTTTACATGAGATATAATTGAATGTTTAAGGGCATCTAAATTCAATGGGAAAATGAATGTCAAACGTGAAACCATTTTTAAAGAGCGGGTTGTTTCATGCAGCCGAACAGAGGTTCGTTCGAATGTCGACATCCTGAGGTAACTAAATTACTATGGAATTATGCTGCGGGATGATAATTCTTACAACGCTTCTTAATCAGACTTTTCGAAAACAAAAATTGTTGCAGAATTTCGATTGAGATTTCACAATTTATGCCACCTACTGCGTGTGTGAGGGTTCTTATCGGTGGAGGAATTTGGTATCATCGGCAAGGCAGTAGCCGTAAAAGCCTTTACCAAAGGTCGGGAATTGTTTGATAATTTGCTCAGCAATTATCGATCGCCCGTTAACAGAAAATGCCAGAAAGGTTTTATACGCTCACTGGAGTAGGAGGTCATGTGGCAGTTCGCGTCTCCTCGCCCTCCGCCTTTGTCACGCTGCTGTCCTGTCCGCCTCACACTCCGTGTCGATACGCTCCTGGGACGCGCGAGTGCTCGAAGCCAATCAACGCTGTCCCCGCTCTGATTGGCCGGCGGACGTGGAGACAACAAAGGGCGCACACACGCGCAGACACAACACCCCGAGGGCTGACACAGATAACAGCTTGCTTGGAGCGCGCTTGCGGCAACTGCTTACAGAGCCCTTGTGTACACACTTCCTCAGGCAGTAAAGGTTGTCCGACTCAAACCGTTTTCCCTGACTTTTGATTGGGAATCTTTATCTTGTCGATCGCACACAACTTTCAACAACTGGTGACCCCTTTGCGAACAGCAATATTTCTTCGTAATCTACGGTAAAGCCAGGCGTTGATCATGAACAACTTTCCAACGGCAGTGAAGCATATTTTGGCACCCGCCTGCGGCATTCTTTCGGCAACGCAACTTACTCAGATGGATGATCGTCTTATGGAGATGCACGGCTTTTCCAAGCCGTCACTTTCAGCTCTCTCAACTTCCTCAACTCATCCTACTTCTCTCCTTTCACAGTTGGAGATCGAACTCAGCAGGCTGGCCGGTGATATAGCTTCACTCCAGAAGCAGACAGACTCCCCCTCATTTCGGCGCCAACCGAATCCGTCCACCCCGCATCTCCAGTCTTCACATTCAACCCGTCAAAACGTAGCTGCCATCTGCTGTTACCACACCAACTTTGGTGTTAAAGCCCATCGCTGCATCTCTCCCTGCTCCTTCGCCTCCAAGCGGAGCAAACGGGTAAAACCAGTCAACCCGAAGGTCAGTGCAGCGAATCATACCGACACCTCTTCCGGCTCTGGTCGCACCTTCTATGTTTGTGACACTGCGACTCGCAGATGTTTTCTGGTGGACACTGGAGCCCAAATCAGCGTGGTTCCCCCAACTGCAGCTGATCTCCGTTTTCCTAGGCGGTCTTCATCTCCAAGCTATCAACTGTTCCCCAATTCCCGTTTTTGGCAGTCTGTCCCTCACCCTGAACATTGGACTTCGTCGGTCATTCACTTGGATCTTTGTGATTGCTGAGGTCCCTCATGCAATCCTCGGCTCGGATTTCCTTGCCGAATTCGATCGCCTTGTTGACTGCCGACGTGCCCGTCTCCTCGACCGCACTACCGGTCTGTTTCTCCGTGGACTAACTCCATTTACTGCCCCCACCAACTTATCTGTACTGGATACAGATATTGGTAGTCCTTTTCGGCAACTGCTGCTTAGCCACCCCAACATAATTAAACCCCAGTTTCGCAGTGGTGAGATTCAACAAGATGTTGTGCACCATATCCGCACCTCAAGCCCTCCCGTGTTTGCTTAACCGAGACGACTAGCACCGGTGCGTTTTCAGGCCGCGAAGGCGGAGTTTGAACACATGCTGCAACTGGGAATAATTCGACCGTCCGAGAGCCCTTGGGCGTCCCCCCTGCACCTGGTGCCCAAGGCAACATCAGGCGACTGGAGACCCTGTGGCGATTATCGTGCCCTCATCAGCGCTACCATTCCTGATTGGTACCCCGTGTCTCATTTTCACGACTTTGCTGGAGCCCTTTTCGGCAAAGCGGTTTTCTCGAAGATTGATCTGGTGCGTGCCTTTCATCAGTTTCCAGTCGCCCCTAAGGACATCCCTTAAACTGCCGTCATCACACCCTTCGGTCTCTTTAAGTTCGTACGCCTGCCGTTTGGTCTTCGTAATGCCGACCAAACGTTCCAGAGGTTCATCTACCATGTCTTACGTGGCCTGCCCTTTGTGTATGCCTACATTGATGATCTCTTGGTGGCCAGTCGGAATGAAGAAGAATACAAAGAGCACCTTGCCTTGGTGTTTGACCGCCTTGACAAGTTTGGCATTGTCATCAACCCCTCCAAGTGCGTGTTGGGTGTGCCTTCGCTGGAGTTCCTCGGCCATCAGGTCGACTCTGAAGTTTTGCGTCCCCTCCCCTCCAAGGTTGATGCAATTCGTAATTTTCCTCCTCGAACTACCAAGCGTCAGTTACAGCGATCCCTCGGCGAGGTAAATTTTTACCGCAGATTCCTACCGAATTGTGCTGACTTCATGCTGCCGCTCACCAACATGGTTTCTGGTCCCAACGGTCCCCTTGAGCTGACTGGTGAAGCCCTGACTGCTTTTGAGAGAATCAAGAATTCGCTTGCCGATGCCAACTTACTCACGCATCCCGCTCCCGAAGCTCAACTTTCTCTGATGGTAGATGCCTCGACTGTAGCTGTAGGTGCAGTCCTTCAACAAGACCTTGCTGGTTCGACTCAACCACTTGCCTTTTTCTCCAAAAAGCTCTTACCAGCTGAAACACGCTACAGTACCTTTGGCCGTGAACTACTTGCCATTAACCTGGCTGTGAAGCATTTCCGGCATTTCGTTAAAGGTCGTGACTTCACTGTTTTCACTGACCACAAACCGTTGAGTTTTGCACTCAGTTCCCACTCCGACAAGTACAATCCGAGGGAAATCGCCCAACTGGACTACATCTCTCAATTTACCACCGACATCCCCCACATTGATGGCACGAGGAATCAGGTGGCTGATATGTTGTCCAGACCCTCACTGTCTTCCCTCCAACTCTCACACGGGGTCGATCTTTGTGCCATGGCGGCTGAGAAACAGCGAGTCGGTTGTCCTGGCGACGAGTCGGTTATTGGTCTCCCACTCAAAGACGTTCCTCTGACCACCGGCTCTGGTACCATACTTTGTGACGTCTCAACTCCCTTTCATCGCTCTTTTGTGCCCGCCTCGATGCGTCAAGCTGTATTTCAAACGCTGCGTGGACTCTCCCACCCTGGGATCCGAGCCTCTCAAAAGCTCCTCGCGGAAAGGTTTGTCTGGCCTGGCATGAACAAGGACGTCAAAGCTTGGGCCCGGTCGTGTCTGAGCTGCCAGCGCAACAAGGTGCAGCGTCACAACAAGTCTCCACCAGGCACTTTCCCCAGTCCCGACGCACGGTTCAGCCATGTGCATCTGGATGTCGTAGGCCTCTTGCCTCCATCCAGTCGTTTAACCTACCTCCTTACCTGTGTCGATGGATAAACTCGCTGGGCTGAAGCTATTCCTTTGCCGAATGTTCAGGCTGAAACCGTCGTGAAGGCCTTCGTCAGTCGTTGGTTCGCCATGTTCGGTGCCCCATCCACGGTTACGACTGATCGTGGTGCCCAGTTTGAGTCGGCACTCTTCCGAACGCTATTCAATTTCCTTGGCTGCACACGCATTCGGACGACAGCCCACCACCCAGCTGCCAACGGTATGGTGGAACGTTTCCATCGCCAGCTAAAGACCGCCCTGCGTTCCGTAGAAGACCCAGGAAACTGGTCGGACAACCTTCCTCTTGCACTCCTCGGCATCCGCGCAGCTCTGAAGTCGGATCTGGGCTGTAGCGCAGCTTAATTGGTTTTCGGCACTACCCTCCAACTGCATACGCAGTGACGGTGTGGGGAGGATGCAAATTCCCTTGTTTTGGCTCTGTCAAATGCAAGAGTTGCGCAAACATAGTCATCTTCGAGGGGCTCATTGAGTGGGATGACGCCGTCTAGACCTGTGACGACTGCGGAAAATTCAAATTCACCACCCATAAAACGGTTTTGATCTTCAAAAAGAACTGGAGCATGTAGTAGCTAGTTGGTGAAAATTGAGCAAAGGAAAACAAAACAATAAACGTGCGTTGCGGTCAGGGGGCAGCCTCCTGCTCACAAATGTTTTTGGAAATTCACTGTTATTTAGTTTAAAATAGTTTATGGCGAAGTTTGAGGAAGAGGTTTTGTTCAAATTCAAACGTGAGATTAACTGGCCGATGTGTTCCTGGTCATGCTTATTGAAATGCGTATGAAGTGCCATTATACAGAGCACAATATCTGGCCAAATCTCATCGACACAAGAACCACAATTAGCTGAAGCTGTATTTCGTACGCAGAGGCCCTCTAATGCTCGAGATTGTGTGAAGTTTCGATGCACTTTAAATGCTAGTTTAAAATTGTGTTCTGGCAAATGACCCGGACGATTAGACTAACGAAATTTCTCGTCATGTGTTTAGTAGGTGTGCTAACGCATGAAGTGTCAACGGAAATTCCGAAATGTGTTTTCGTTTCGAAAATATAAGCCAAGTAATTTTGCAAAGCTAACCACTGTGAGCGTAATTATATAGAAGTTTAGTTACCTCAGCGTGCCGGCATTCAAGCGAACTTTTTTCTGTCCGTATGCAAAAACGATGCTCTATGACTTTTCATTTAGCATGATGTTTTCTCATTGATATTTGTTGCCTTAAAAATCAATTCATGGAAAAAAGGCACAGAAAATTCATTCTTTTACTCGTGCTTGTTATTTTACGTCCTCTTCCAACTTTATGCTTCGAGGAAGGATATAGTTCTGTTTTAAATTTTTTTCCAATTCCTGAATAATTTTGAACCCGACCTTCCATCAAACTCGCATTCAGGGTTTCCAAACTGCAAACCGTATATTTTCCGTGCAAGGAAAGCTATACATTTCATTAAGGTATTAAGAGGACGCTATAGGAAGTTCCCTAACTTTAGCAGTGAATTTCAGTCATGTTGTTAACTTTACAATCAAAACTGGTAAATTCGTGAACTGACGTTTTATGAACGGCCATTTGACGGTATTGAAAAGTCTCGCAATTCGAAAATTTAAAATCCAAATAATACCACTCCTTCGAGGGTAGCTTTGTAAGCATTGTTATCTACCAAATGTACAATTGGATACATATTGTGTGCATATTCTCAATGAAATATAATTGAGCCTTTAGAGGCAGAGAACATCAATGAGGAAAAGGCATGCTCAGTAGGTAGTAATTTTTTACAGAGTATTCGTATACAAGCAGACGGAAAGAAGTTCATCAGAAGAAGAAGAAGCGATCGCTGGAACAATGGCATTGTTCCAGCGATCGCTTCTTCTTCTGATCAACTAGTTCCTGGAACTCGCATTTTCGCTTGTATCGGAAAGAAGTTCGTTCGAAAAACGGCATCCTACGGTGACTGCATTATTATAGAATTATGCAGCATGGTGATAATTTTTGCAATCCTACTTAATAAATCTTTTGGAAAGGAAAAATCATTTTGGAAATGCTTTTGAGATGTCATGAGTTAGCCCAAATAATGTATGACTAATTTCACCTTCAAGTACGTTCGCGCAAACACTTGAAGATTCACAATCAATTTGTGTGCGTGTATGCAACGAAGTTGTGATAAGGTGCTGCACCATTTTCATCCTTCTCCAGAAATTTAGTCATAGTAAAAATGAGGCACAAGGTAAAATTCTAGACTGTATAGAATATAACTTTAAATTACTTTGTTAAAAGCAAAGCAATAAGTGCTCAAAAATTAACCGCATGAGAGGGGCGATAGATTTATTATTTTTTGTCTGTTTTTGAAAAATTTATTCATCATCTTTGTTTTCATTCTTCTAGAACCTAATCTAGGGGATGCGGAAACACATTAAACGCCACTGGATTACGGGACTCTGGAGGGTTTTAAACACCCTGGCGAAGATTTTCTATGTATTAATTTAAATCATTCGTATACCCCTAAAAACCGTAATGGCAATATTTTATCTCCAATTGAATGGCAATAGAAGACGTCTGAATGCGCATCTACAATGCACATGATAATCGGCATTTGAATAGTACCTCCGCGTATAAATGATTTGTCAAATCTGTGCCGCAATTTACACGTGCATAACGGCTGATTGGTGGGTTCAAAAGTCGCAACGAATGACGCACAGAGTGCAGGCGGTACCGCAGCAAACATGCTATAAAATTTCCGTGAATTTGTTTATGATTCGTGAATAGCCAGTAGGTCAAACAAAATGCTCCAGTACGCTCCGCGCCCAAATAGACTTATAATCTGCTTGACGATAGGTCTCCTCTGTTATGTATTTGATGTAATTGGGTGGATTTCCGCCTACAGGGAGTCACCCATGACTAAAAATGCAAGTTATTGCAAGCTCGATTGGCAACACCTTGTTTACTCGCCCAAAACCAACAGCTTTGAGTTGTCACTCGTGGTGGACGTTGCTAATGGTGGCCGCGGCATCGGCAGAAGTTCCGACCGGCGAATCCCTAGTCGACACATCCATCCGCGTCTTCCACGCCAACAAACCTATACATTTGCGGAGATGGCGGAAATCGAGGATAAAAACTGGAGAGTGCCAATTCCCCGTACGGTTTTCATGCTCTACCCACAGGCGCTCGACATTAAACAGGTGGTGGCAAACATAACGAACTGCCGTCCCATAACAGAGGTACTTGTCGTTTTGTATTATATGTCGTATGAGGCGTTTAGTCTACGCCCTAACTCTTATTCAAGTTTTATTTGAACGTAAGTTGCATGCAAACAGATTCGGATCTTGTGATTATGTATATGCCGGTGGCCCTGACTTAATATTCTGATGCGAGTTTACCAGCCCGTATGAATTGCACTTTCAAAAACCAGCATATGTCTTAGACATATTTTTTATTTATTGTTGCCTGATGTATGTGGACATTTGATTTTTAAGCTACGTCTTCTTTTAAATCACAGCTACATTAACGGTTTAACCTGACATTATATTAATCCCACATAGGACTGTTTTAAGACGTTATTGGAAGTGTTGATATTTTGTAACTTTACCCGGATTCCTCATGCTGTCTGTAGAGTTGGTTGCGCGCCGCACGATGGTCACAAGATGTTTTCGTGTTAGTGACTCATATTTGCAAAGCAGTTTGACGTTGAAGAGTTATTAAATGCCGGTTCTGAAACGTTCAGCGCAGGGGATTGACAGTTTAAAATGCAGATAATTTCGTAAAGTGAATGATCTTTAATCAGATTTACAAAATAAAACGAAATAAATCTCAGCGTTGTCCACGGAGAAGCATAGAAATGCATTGGGTTAACGATAGCATTATAAGCAAACTATCTAACTTAATTAAATGTCTGATTAAATGACCAATTAATTAACGCTCAATTGAATGTTTGGCACAGATATGCGGCTGGATATATGTCCAGCAAAAGTCCAACACCATGACCTTCATGGAGTAGTTAGCAGTGATGCCGCCTTTCAGTTAGTAATGCGACATCGAATTAGCTTACTTCTTTACAAGAAATGGTCCGAATTCTATCGTGGGATGGTAGAGTCGGATAAATTAGAATCGCACTCCCAGTTGTGTCCTTAAAATGAAGGGGTATTAATAAAATAAACATAAGGTGGCATTTCTTTAAAAAAAAACCGGCCTTCGTAAAATAAGCGCATATTTTTATATCGATATATCATATACTAATATCAAATAAGGACGGCCAGCCGGAACTGGAGTCAGAGTAAGCTGGAATGTCTGTCGATAAGTTGGCAGCCTGTGGATTTGGTCAATAATTTGCAAATCATCACAATCGACCGTGCATCAGGCAATGGGGTGGTTTTTTACATTTGGCGTGGTTTTCACAATTACAAATAGTCTTTACATTTAAGAATCTCCTGTGATACGGGAACGTACATGATGTAGAAATGTGCGGAAACGTTTTCACATTTTTTTTCGTTCGGTTCCATCTAGTTTTGAAGGGAACGGTGGAACGCAGATAGCAAAATTAATGGTCCCAGGCGAAAATACGCAGTAGGTTGGCTAACGCATTCTATGAAGTAACCCATCTACTGTATATGAATCGAAAAACTGGCATCCTAAGAAATCTACTAGGAAGGATGGAGTTCTTTAATAAACAGAAATCTTTACTTTGTTAACTTTCGACACTGGTTCCCCAGCTCTTATTCAGACTCTGAAAGTGAAAAAACAAATACCTTCTAAACTGATTGTGGCAAATGATTATATGATTGGCTTAAATCTGAGCCAATGTGTGTTATTTGCAATTCGTCATCCCCTTTGGATTGATTGAGCCACTTTGAATTTGTCTTTAACGATTTTGTATTTGGTATCTAGACCGATATGTCGGTTGATGCATGCTTCATGTGAGTTCACTGACTGAGTGTTTCGGTCAACGAAACCTGACCGCGCGAACGCACCGAATAAGTAACAGATTCTACATCCCAATTTTTCGCTGATTATCCCATTCAGACAGCAGAGGTTCTGCAAGTGTTTTTGACGCACTTGGAGATGAAGCGGAGTTGGAAAAAAGGTGTATGAATTCAAGTGTTAAACAATCACCAGATAAAAATGCAGAGTTAGACTAGACTGGCTATTCCAACAAAACATGCGGCAAGTACGGCGAATCGCTTTTTGAACTAGACTAATGGGACTGATAACACCAATCTGAACGATACATCATGTGCTTTACGTGCTATTTAAAATCAGTGGGACGTCTGTCGAAGCCAGGAGGTCATACTTAGATTTCGGGTTCAGTCACCATTTGCAGACAAACGATAGCCATGAGGATATGGGGCAACGTAATGGCAAT